GTATAATCTAGGTCCTACGTGACAAAATAATAATCCAATCAGTAATGCTTTGTAAATGATCTTGTTTTGGGCCTGGCCTAATAAGAATAGTTGCCAGGTTAAAACCGAATTGATAAATTAATGGGAAAATTGATTAGTTACATGGTTTAATTCAATTTTAAATAGAGGAAATTATAAAAATGCAATTTTTTTGTCCATTTGCAAAAATATTTGTAAAAATATCATTTAGAAGTGTTCATTTACAAAAATACCACTAATTATAGATTTTTAAACCCTATATCTTAAAATTCTAAACCCTAAAAAATATTTTGACCCTTAAACCCCTCTAAATCTTCAAAACTAAATCCTAATAGAACATAATTAACCCAAACATAAATAATATAAAGAAAAAATACTTTTGAAAAAATGTCATTTTTACAAAAATTTCAAAAGTGTGACATTTTTGTAAAGTGGCATTAAAAAGTAGTATTTTTTAGAATTTCTATTTTAAATATTGTGGTGTATTAATTTGAGAATATTTTAGACAATTACAAATTTACAATCACGTTGAATGTTTTGAAAAAGCAATTTGAATTGTTTGTTTCATAGATGATAGTTAAAATAAAAATTATCAAAATAAAGAGCAGTAAACTAAAAGTTACTAACGACAACAAAAAGAACTAGAAGTTACTGGGATTAAACTACAGCCTAACTGATGAATTACGGTAAAAAAAAATGTGAATGAATTAATGGGCATGGATAGATATAATTTAGGCCTAAAGATCTAAAAATGCGTGACCGACTAAACGTTCCACAAAATCCTGATTGCTTAAAGTTTAAGCGTTAAACCCTAAGAGCATCATTAACCTTGATATCCTTAATAATTTTTACCTAATTTTTTAATAATTAAAAATTAAAAAATATTACAAAAGCAAGAGAGAGTAGAGATTGTTTCCATAATAAGAACCGGTTTTTTATAATAAGGATCGGTTCTTGAGAATTAAAACTTTTGTTGTTACTTGTTGTCACTTTATTGGCTCAACATTTTT